CCCCCCTCAGAACAGGCTGCTTTAAAAAGTCAAGCCTCAAAATAAAACGACCACTTTTTTTTTCTTTTGCCTCAGAACCAGCTTTCTATAGATTACTGCTGTTCTTCAGCACTACTGTAACTTGCAACAGTTGCGAGCCAGAGTCTACTCCCCCTCTGCTGGGCCTCTCAGCAGGCAGGCTAAATCACTTCTATTTCACAGTTTTGCCTCAGCTTTTTTCCCGCCAAAACAGGCTGCCTCAGAGCTCCCTAATCTAGTCCCCAATCTGAGGTTACACGTTCTTCTACTAGCGCACCTCCCCGTGAGGTACACCTAGAAGATTACCTACGTGCTCTCAGATTGTCCCTGACTAGACCCCCCTTGCTCTGGGCACACTTGCCAAGGCTTTGCTGGACCGCTGGACAACTGGACCAGTCGTATCCCACACGCTGGACACCAATCAATGTGACAAACCCAGACCTACTGGGATATGCCACACGTTAACTAAGCTGCCACCAACCATTCCCTATAAGAAGTCACACAGACCAGGGATGGATTTTTAAACAAATAAAGAACAAGGTTTATTTAAATACAACACACAGGGAAAATAAAAATAATCAGGTGAATAAGATAAAGTAACGTGGCTTATTCTCATTCATACATGCATACAGTTTGGTTCACACAGAACCCTTAACTTGAAGCACAGACCCTGAACCTATCAGTTCTGGCTGACCAACAGACACCTGAACCTATCAGGTTGGTACTCTGACACACAGTAGTACCCTGTCTGACACACAGACTCCCCCACCAGCTTGTTCTTCCCAGCTGCTGCTTCGTCACATCCCAGCGTCTTCCTTCCACCACACAGGCTTCACATTTATATACAGTACAGCCCCTCCTCCTGATGTCCCGCCTTCCACTCCCCATAGGATGGAACTTTCCCTCCAAACCCATGACAGACAGGTAACATCAGTGCTGTATGTAACAACTACATTTGACAGCCTGGAGGATCACCCATCGATCAGGGAGGTCCTAGATAAAGCCAGAAAGCCATCTAACAACCGCCTCTACAAATACAAGTGGAATAACTTTCTTAAGCTTGCCCAGTCAAATCACCTACAGGCTTGCCTACCTTACTCCAATACCTTCGTTATCTGTTTGACTCCAGTTTGGCACTACCCACCCTTAAAGTTTACATCTCTGCAATTGTTCCTTCCAACCTCGTGAATCGGATTCTGCTTGTCTTTTCTCCCACTCTACTCTCAAATCCTTTTTGAAAGGTCTCTCTAACATACGACCACCCATCAAACCCCCTGTACCTCAATGGGCCCTTCAGCTTGTGTTGCGCGCGCTTACATGCCACCCATTTGAACCTATGGCATCTTGTGACATTAAGCTACTGTCCTTTAAACTTAAAGCATTATTTTTGGTGGCCATTACATCTGCGAGATGAGCAAGTGAGCTGGCAGCTCTCAGATTCGATGCTCCTTACCTTCAGTTCTTTAAAGATAAGGTTACTTTATATCCGGACATTTCTTTCCTACCGAAAATTGCATCAGATTTCTACGTCAATCAACCTCTCATATTGCCGACTTTGTTTCCTTCCGGTGAGTGTGCTAGTCACCCTATTGTGTGCATTCACAGAGGCCACGATGTAGAAAGACAGGTTACTTACCTGTAACCATGGTTCTTCAAGTGGACCTCTGTGAATTCAGATATCCCGCCCGGCCTCCCGACTGTCGGTCACTGATGGTGTCTAGGCTAAGCTCAGGCGATTGTGGCGGATAAATGGACCTGAAGGCTGAGGCGGGCGGAGCATGCGCGATAGGGACAACTCTAAACATTTTTACTTTGATCCAAAAGCTCTAGAAGATTCTGAGAGGACCAGCGCAGGCGCTGTCAAAACCCTATTCTGCGAATTCACAGAGGTCCAATTAAAGAACCATGGTTACAGGTACATAACCTGTCTTTTTGCTTTCCTCCTTCCACCTCGGTGCGAACGGGGATAGTTTTGTAAGGCATTCAAGTGACCCGAGATGGGCTTCGGAGTGGCATCACCTCCCAAAGTGTGCCTTTCAGCTTACTCCAGTGGAGGGCCATCGGCCTTCAGCCAAGAGCCACCTCACCGGGCCGAGGCGAGCTGCTAGACAGGGGCTTGTGTGTCTCCTGCTAATTTTGCAGCCGGCCGACCTCCACCCTCGCCTCCCAAGGAGTAAGAGCAGGCCGAAGTTCAGAGCAGCAACAGAGCAGCGCCTCCTAAAAATAACCGGCCCTGCTATTTTTAGCACCTCTGGAGCTATAATTATCTCCTCTTGCCGCTGCCAGAGGCTGACTGTGGGCGGCTGCTCAGCTCGGAGGCGAGGAAAGGCCGGCGGCCGGCTGGCACCAAGGCCAGGTCAGCCGGCCGGCCAGGGAGGGAGGGAGGGAGGGAGAAGGCGCCCAGGAGAAGGCTGGCGGCCAAGGGTCGGCTCCAAGATAACGTCCAGGGCTCTGGAGCCGAGGCAAAAATGAAGGACCTTGGTTTGCATCCAGGCCCTGAGAAGACCCCTCTCTTGGGGGCCTCCTTGGTTTTCAGAAGGGGAAGGCTGCCCTGTGCCAGCCGGCCTGAGAAGGTCGTCCGGACCTCACCGAGGGTTCAAGAAGGATCAGGGGGTTGCTGAGATCCTGCCCGGAAGGGGGACGGGGTGGCTGGTTGGTTCCGTTCAGTTTGGGGCTCCATCTTCACTCGTCCTTCCTTCGTCCCATTTTCCTTCGGACTTTTCCGATCACAAACCACATTCTAGAGCACCGGCCTTCTCCTTTCCTAGCTCTCGGCTTCTTCCCTGGGATGGAAATTCCCCACCGCTGCACATCCCTTGGCAGCCGGGGAGGGAAATGCCACGGGCTGCATGTTGGAATCAGTTGGTGGGCCCAGGCATCTGGGCCCACTGATGGTGAAGGCTGGTGAAGGCGTTGGAGGCTGGAAACCCCCCCACCTCCACTGCTGGTAACCCAGCCCTTCCCTAGGCCGGCTGGCCGGTGGGGCCCAGCCACACGCTTCCCCTGGAACAGCAGCCTCTCCGGCCACGTCTGGAAAATTCTTGCCCCCATGTGGCCAGCCCATTCCCGGTCCTGCCCTGATCTTCCTCCCCTCCGTTCCGCACCCTGCGCCTGGTCCCGGCGCTCGTGGGTCAGGGGATAACATGAAAGCCGCCCATGACACCGTGGACCAGGAAACAGAAGGACAGGCGGCCCTTTAAATGCCTGGAAAACTGGCAGGGCTGGCCCAGGAATCACAGGACTTTAACCTGATGGTGCCAGGTTTCCCACCCCCTTCCTTCCCTCCACACCCCAGGAACACCCTCACGTGCTCCAGGTTGCGGCAAGGGCATGCACCCGAAATGGCGAAAGGGAGAGGAAACGGGTGGAGGCCGAGGATGCTCTGTTTGAACAGAGAGCAGAGGTGGGAGGGGAGGCGGAGGGTCCCTTCAGATTCCCAGCCTGTCTGGATCGGGGCTTTCCTGTGTCCGATCTACGTCCTCCTGAGAAGCCGCCCGGGGTGGGCTTCGAGAAAATTAAGGGGGGGTGACATTTGTTGGAGAGCTGAGGAGAGAAGTCCAGTTTCACCCGGGCACCGCGAGAGCCGGGACCACCTGCAGGCCGATCCGATCCATCTCCCAAGGTCTGGTTTCCACAGACGTTTCATCGCCTAACTTGACCTGTGGACACAGAGGGCAGGGATGGCTTACTTTGCCACCTCGTAGGTTGACTTCACATAAAATTTTAACTAGCCCTGCGGAGAGGATGAACGCACACAACGGCCAGAGGTCACGGGGACGAGCCTTTTCCGACAGGTTCCACCGTTGTGTTGTGTGTGCATGCCAAGACCCCATGACCAGATTTGTTTGTGAAATGCCAGAGAGAACCAAGCGTGCCACCGTTGTGCACCTCTGGAAGGTGACGTTTCTGTCGGCTTCCAAACATCACAGGATGTGGTTTTTCTCCCATAAACAAAGAATCGGCCCAGAAAGCGAAAGCACCGCACCGGCGTCCCAGGGGGGGGGACCCTTCCACAAACAAACCAGCAGCTCTGCGAACACCGTCGCTGAACCTGGATTCATACTGAAGTTCCTGTTTTTTTAACTTGCATTTTGGACACCCCCCCCCAAAAAAAAAGAGAACGTCTCACAGCAATAAACAAACCACCCAAGACCACACAGGAAGTTTGGGGAGACCATCGTAATAAAACAACTCCTGGACTTTCGGGCAACGAACTTTGTCCAGGGAGGAGGCTGGCCGGGGAGGAGAAACCAGAGAGAGCTTTCCGTCGCCTCCCTCAGAGGATGAGAGAAAGGTGTGGAGCGCTCGAGATTGACAGAGATGGTCACTCCCGGAAATCGGTGTCTGAGATAATCCTACGAAGCTAAATCCTGAGCAGTCATAATAAGCCAATGGTTTATGGGAAGAAACCGGTTTATTCAGGTAAACCAAGTGCACCCTCGGGTGCCCATTAGGGTGGGGACCCAGAGTTTACAGGTCTTTAAAAAAAAGGATACAACAGTTGATTGGTGCCTGAGGAACATATGCTCGTTGGTGACAATTTATTGCATTTCAGCCAAGCCATTGCTCATGCGCAGAGCAGTTGCACACAAAGAAACATCAAGTCTTCCTTATAAGGTACTTGGTTTCTTCCTCCTGACCAGACCCGCTGGGAGGCCTTGGACTTCACTGCGAATTTTCTGTGGTAAGACCCCCAATTTCACCTTTGACAACTTTCAGAGGGCCTTACTGTTGTAGTCTTGCCGCCCCCGACTTGACGGCAGAGCTTTCAATGCCTGGCTGCTACTTCTGTCTTGCCCTGGGACCGCACTTGCCGGCTTTCTGCTTCTCCTCTTTTGCTGGGATTTTGAGATGGAAGAAATGCTCCTTGGTTTGAGCAGAGGGTGTGTAACCTGGGGAGGGGGGGGCTCAGTACCGACCCGTTGGAGCAGCAGAAACAAAAGGAGGGGGGCTAGGGTGGGTGGGTGGTTTCACCCCAGAACAACATTTGGTCCCAAATGTTTTCCACCCAGGATGAGCCTCTCTCATCCTGGATGCAACACAAGACAGGGTCTCCGAAGAGATGGCGTGGGGATAGGAGGGTGGATGGATGGGGGTGGGTGTGTGCTGGCAGGCCACGATGGGGAGGGCGCCCTCCCTCCTGTATTCCTTTGCCTGGTCGTTTCCCCTTCTCCATCAGGATCCCCAATTACATTCTTGCTGCTTCCTTGTCTTGCATCTTGATGGTAAAGATGCCACTGCACTGTGCTCTCTTTCTCTCCCCACAACTTCTCAGCCTGCCCCATGGATTCCAAGGCGGAGGGAAGACAGAACCCAGTGCCCCGGAAGCTGCTTGCCTTCCTTCTCCTCCAGGTCCTCTTTGCCACCGCACTCTTCAGCTACGTCCGACAGGGCTCCAGGTCGGGGTCTCCAACCTCTCCTTCCTGCCCCGAAACGCCCCTGCAAGAGACGGCGATCCTTCGGCCCCCCGCTCCCCAGCTCTCCTCCAATCTCACGATCCTGCTGTGGACCTGGCCGTACGGCGTCCACGTTCCCTTTGAGAACTGCTTCGAGGTCCTCGGCGTGCCCGACTGCCACTTCACGGTGGATCGCCACTGGTACCCTAAGGCCGACGCGCTCTTGGTGCACCATTATGACGTGTACCTGGACGCCAGAAAGCTCCCTCAAGAGCCGAGGCCGCCGTTCCAGCGCTGGGTCTGGTACAGCCCTGAACCTCCCAGCAAGCACCCTGTCCCGGACTTCATGGACAACCTCTTCAACTTCTCCATGTCGTACCGGAGAGACTCGGACATCTATGCCCCTTACGGATGGCTGGAAGTCCTCCCACAGCCCCAGAAGGTCACCGTACCCCCCAAGTCCAAGCTGGTGGCCTGGGTGGTGAGCAACTGGAAGCCCAAGTACGTTCAGGTCCGGGTGAAATACTACGAGGAGCTGAAGAAATACATCCAAGTGGATTTGTACGGACGCAGGCACTCGCCTCTCTCCGGGAGCCAGCTTCTCTCCACCTTATCCCAGTACAAGTTCTACCTGGCCTTCGAGAACTCCCAGCATGAAGACTACATCTCCGAGAAAGTTTGGAGGAACGCCTTTCTCTCCGGAGCAGTCCCCGTCGTCCTTGGGCCTTCGCGGAAAAACTACGAGAGCCACATCCCTCCGGACTCCTTCATCCACGTCGACGATTTCTCCAGCCCGCGAGAGCTGGCCGGCTTCTTGCAGGAACTGGACAAGAATGCCACGCGATACGAGAGTTACTTCCGGTGGCGCTCACGGTTGAGATCCGTCAATTATAAATCTTGGGGCTACCAGTTTTGCAAAGCGTGCCAGGCCTTGCAACAAAAACCCGCCGTCTACCAGACCTTGCCTGAACTTAGCAAGTGGTTTAAGTGATGTGGAAGGTGTGGGGGGGGAGTGCGATTTGACCATCAGGCAGTCACAAGAACCACGGGGTTGAGGCAACCCAGACTTTCTGGGCTCGTAGCCGGCCGCCGAAGGCAGCCCCCGAAGACCGCGAGGCGCTGTGGATTCTTGGAGCACGAAATTCATCCTATAACTCCATACAGAAAAATCCTAAGAGGAACTTCTTCCCATGGCTGGTGTGGAAAATTTGTAGTCACTCACAATGTTTCTTGCTGGGATGTTTTTTTAATTCTCTACTACTTTTTTGTGGATCTTAGGAGAGATGAGAATGGCATAATACTTGGAACATTTCTGTGCACAAATATGGCCCTATTTCCACTCCCAACATCTGTTCCAGAACATAATCTTTGTCAGAAAAGGAAAGTAACTTATTACAAATGACAACATGCCTTGTGATGGTTTTGTTCCAAACTCTGTGCATTATCTTCATTTGGCATTTCTGATTTTTTTTTAATCATGGCTGTTACTTGAATTAAATCTGCCACATTCATGTAACCAGAGGAGAGATGATTACGGTTGTCAGGATGTTAAAAAGGCATTGCTTGGATTTTTTTTTAATTGCCAGGATCAACACGTTATCTTAAGAATCAGGGACTGGATTAAACGAGTGAATAATTAAAGAAATGTTTGAGGAACTAATCTGATGGGAGAAGCGGTTTTTAAAATTTATTTATTGAAAATTAAGAGGCGATCATGAGGGACGATTGCTTATGAGGAATCTAATTAGAGATACATATCTGATAAGAATTAATCTAAAGGGTCCTGTAATATCCTTGGTGTTTATTTATATCTGACTTAATGAATGCTTGAAACAAATAAAATCCATTTGAAACTGTAGGTAGAATTGGAAGAATTTCTCCAGTGAGGTGGTATAAACCTTTCCAAGATGATGCCTCTGTTGTTCATGCATCATCTGAAATCAGCTGCAGAATGAGGCTTGTGAAGGACAAGTAACCATACGGCTAGTGCCCACCTTCCTTGTCCAACGGGCCAGATTCTGCGTGCCCGAACAGCCACCGAAGCCCATGTGAGCTCTTTTCAGCTTTCGGCCGATGGCTGACTCAGTCAACCGTCCAGTTTCGGCTTAGCTTGACTGGCAAGCCGAGAAGGTTCGCCGCCTCCCTGGTTTGAACAAGGCAGGTTTTGTGCCCTGGGGCAAAGACGACAGGTTGACTTTCGCTGGATCAAGCACGCAGGTGCAACTATGGAGAAAAGAAGGGGCCAAACCGGGAAACAGGTTCCCCGCCCCCCCCGGTTCCTGCCCCAGGAAGAACACAGGGGGGAGAGCATAGGTGGGAATGGGAGTTTTTGTAGCCAGCAAGGGTCCCCAGCTGGCCCCTCCAGCCCCCAAACTCTTTCCAGCTGGCTTCACCCAAGCCCTTGAGCTTAAAAAAGAAGAAGAAAAGGAAAAAGCCATCCGCGCATCTCTTCCTCGCTTTCTCCTTTCCACAGCCCATGACACGGCATCTTATAAAATGCTACCAAAGGGCGTCCAGGCCCCTCTAGATCCTGATCTGACCAGGCAGAGCCATCTTTTACAGATGCCGTTATTGCAGCAAAGAGTCAACAAGCGACATACTGGCCGTCGCCTCCTGAATCTCACTAAAATTCAAGGGTCGCTGCCCATGTGCAGAATCAGGCTCGGTGGAAACGGATCCGTTCCGGAGGTCCTCGCAGGAGTCACGAATGCATCGGACTTGGAAAGGGATGTGAGTTTAAAAAGGCAGTTTCTTGGGGGCATCTGAAATATAACATGATTTCTCTATCTTATCTACCGTGTTTCCCTGAAAATAAGGCAGGGTCTTATATTAATTTTTGAGGCCTGCTTTGACTTGACTGGAAGCCAGAACGGTGCCCACCCTAAGGGGGAAGCCGGTCTCTCGTCTCCCCCCAGATTTTCTCCTTTGCTGTTCCACCGGCAGGCAGGCAGGTCTTCCCAGATATTTATTTACAAGATTTATTTATTTACAAGATTTTTTTTAGCCACACCATTATGAATGGTCCCTTCAGGGGGAGAACGGTGACCCCCCTCCCACCTTTGCCACTCATCAAAGACCCTCAACTAGGAGAATCAAGGCGTATGTGCTGTTCTTCCGGAGTGTCCACTCAGGAATTGTGGTGAAGCATGTGGTTAGGATGATGGGTGACCTCTAGATTCTATGGGATACTTTGTTCCTACGGTCTGGGGCTGAAAACTGATGCCCAGTGTGACCCTCATCGCTGAGACAGAGGGAGGCCCCTGCCTGACACCCTTGGTAGCCCAGGGCCAGGCAGGGCAGAGGTCCTGGCCCCATCATCCCCAATCGGATGCCTTCTGCATGCATGATCTCAACGCCGCACCCACCCACCCCTGCACCCCTTCCCTCCTGCTTTTGGCAAGCTCCCTTTGCACCGGTGCTGATGTTGGCGGGAACGGCCTCTCAATGTGGATGACGAGTCACCACGGAATCAGGTTCTGCAACCCTGCTGGTGCCGTGCAGCCACGTGCTTGGGAGCAACAACACAGTCATCATCATTATCAACAACAACAGGGCCAAGCACCTTCGTCCACCATCCCATGTGCTTTGGGAAGACCCAGGGTGCCCGACAGCCACTGAGCTGAGCTGCCCCCCCCCCCGTTGCAAGTGACTGAAAGAAAGGCTAAGGAACGAAAGCCCAAAGGCTTGGTGGAGGCTTTTTCCAAGCGCTGGATGGAGGTTTCTGTTGCTTTCTCCCCCTCTCGGTCACATCAGCCTTCTCTCCCTTCCCCGTGGGCTAAGTCAACCACTCCTGCCCGCCCGCCCGCAGGGCCGCCTGGCCGAAAGCCCAGAAGCAATGAGATGGGGTGAGCCACCCTCTTCGTAGACAGACGGACGTCTGGGTCCCTCCCCAGACTGCTCCTGCCAAGTCTGGAAGAAGCAGGAGGGCGGCCAGGAGACAACCAGGAAGAGGGAGGTTGACCTGGGGAGTTCTGTTTCTCTCTCTCTCTCTCTTTCTCTCTCCAGCCTCCCCGGAGAACCCGGTGCAAAGGCAGACACCCTTGATCCGGCTGACAGACAGAGAGGAAGGCTGCAATTAAGAGAAGCTGGCTGGGGTTCCAGTCCAGCCTTCATCGCAGGCCGCCCAGCTGCAGCCAGACAGTGTGGGTGCCGGGGGGGGGAGAGAGCGCGCCTCCAGCCTCAAATGAATCGGGGTGGGTGGGTGTTAAGGCTGCCAGGAGCCACCCAAGCCCGACGGCTGGGAGCTGAGGAGGAGATCTGGCACCGGTCGTAAACTCTGGAGGAAGAGCTGCAAGAAGAGAGTACAGTAGTGGCCAGGACACGTTTTCCGAGAGAGTGCCGTCTGCCTGCAGGACAGGCTGGTTTCCTATGAGCTAAATGTGGTGGGCTTGAAAATGGCCCCCCAGTCTCTCGGAGGGCACCCCCAAAACACACGTGCATGCACACACCGCTCAAGAGGAGCCCTGTTGCTTCTCAAGCGACACCAGACATAACATGGTATAGCCCTCGATTCATGTTTAGACTTAGCAGCCTGGTGGGNCCAGGTTCAAATCCCATGGCACCCAGGAGCTCACAGGCCAGGGTTTCTTGGCCTGGTCGACCTAGCTGGATCGTTGTAAAGATAAAACGGCATATAACAAACCCATGATTCTGCAGAGGCTTCTCCCACTCGATCCTGCAACCAAAAATTCTGGATTGGGCAGAACATTAGGAGAGGGATTCAGAGCAGGGGAGGGGGAGACGCGGCATTTCACCCAAACGGGGTCCTGGTGAAGTGGAGGGGCCCACGAGAACACCACGAAGTTGGAAAGGGGCCCAGAATTGTCTTCCTCCCCAGATGGTTCTCCCGTCTCCTCTGTACAAGCAGCAACCCACCCCACCCCCTCTCTTCTCCCTCCATCTCTCCCTCTGCCCCACTCTGGCTTCTCCAGGCCTGGAAGAGGCGGTGGAGGGGGGGGGAAACGACGACTCTGGGCGCACAACGACCATCCGATCCGTGGCCACAGGCCAAGGTGTGAAATCCGAAACGCCTTCCTCTCTGGCTGTGCCAGCCCTGGCCGCAAAATGAGATTCTGAGCCGGCGAGACACCGTGGTGACTCAGGCGCAGACCAAGGGGGAAGCAGGGCCGGGAGAGTCCTGCCTGGATTATGTTGGCTCTTTTAGCCAGCCATCCGGCGAGCCAGCTGACATAAGAATTCGGTATCTTCCTAAAACCAATGTTTTGGGTTGCTTTCCCATCCCGAAGGCAGACAGACGGAGGAGGAGAGGAAGACGGCACTGACTCAGAACCCGCTCTGGCTCACATGGGGAGGTCACACACCCGGGTCCCGGAACGCTTCCAGGGAGGGCCAGCCACGAAAAGGGAAACAATCTAGGGATTCCCCCTGCCCCCCCCCACGGCCACGCAAGGCAGACAGTCCTGAGCCAGACAGACCAGTGAGGCTCCTACGGAGATTGGTCCTGCCTCTATTTAGAACCACTGCCACGAGGAGGACTAGAAGCTTAGCTTGCTGCAACAGAGGCAGAGTGGCCTCAGACACATGCCGAAGTGCTTAAACCTGGGCCTCACTGTAAACTGGAGAGATTCTTTCCATGCTGCAGCTGCGGCTTTTGTTAAATAACCTGTATGTGTGTATCCATCTTGCTTGCATAATGTTTACAGGATTTGGTTTCTCTGTTTAATAAACAGGACAAAAAAAAGGTAATAGTGTTTTAGCCTTGAACTTTTCCTTCCCCTGAACCTCCCTTCCCTGTTAAGGAAGGGAGGCTGTAAAAATGAAAAGGCTAGGGTCCCCCACTCCACCCTCAAGGACCTAAAGTTATAGAGAGGTTTATTTGCACTGCCTTCCGTTTTTCTGGGGCCCAGGCAGAAATCCAGCTGGTCAAGTTCCCATAGAACACGTGCAATGGGGAACGTTCTGCGTCTTTGGCTTGACAGGTGGAGTCACACACGCCCGGGTTCTCTAGGGAGCTTCTCTGCTCCTGGGATCCATCCGGAGCATCGTTTTTGGCAGGTGTCCTCACGTGCCGACCGAGCAGATGACTCGGATCCCGTTCGGGACACCGTTCCCTAAATGCCTTTCTCGGCTCCTCCTCCCAGGTTTTTCTGCAGCTACTCAGCCGCAGGATTTATGTAAGGTGAGTTACAAAGCACTAGATCATCCATCGCCAGCGGGCACACCCTCCTTGCATGCTCGGCTTGACCCTGTTTCCCCGGAGAGAAAAACAGAGATTTCTAACTTTTCTCTCTCTCTCTTTATTATTTTTTTTTAAAGGAAAGCACAACAATCTTCAGCGATGATTCATCATTCACACGTGGGAAACTGCATGTGCTTGGGTTTCTGTGTAAGTGCCTCGGGGCAGAGACTGGACTGATGTGGCCAAAGGGCGACTGTCACGCCAAAGGTCCCAGATTCAAAAAAGGCTCTTCCCAGAAAACTTGGGGAGCCGCTGTCCGTCAAGCGAGAGGCTCCCTGACCGAGCCTAACTCACCCAAAGGCCTTTTCTTGGCTTCAGGACACGGCGTTCTGTGCAGTTCCAAAGGGGGGCGGATCGGCTCAGACCACCCGTGTGTCCGGGCCACCTTCTGATCTCCTGCCTCCTCAGATGTTTTGGGAAAACAGCGGTTGAGCATCCCGTGGCAAGGGGAGGCTACAAACTTTCAGACCTATGGGTTATGGGGGGGACCTAAGAGCGCACTGTGCCGATCTGTGCATCCGCCGGTCCCCTCGGGAGGACTTTCCCAGAGTATAATTTGACCATTAAAGCTTCCAGACCAGTGAAGACCGGCCTCCGGGATTTCCAAAAGGGACGGGGTGGAAGAACTCTGTCGTGCAGGAGTTTGCAAAACGGGCTGGTGTGTTGATTTTTTTAACCCATAAGGTAAAGGTAAAGGTAAAGGTTCCCCTTGACAATTTTTGTCCAGTCGTGTTCGACTCTAGGGCGGTGCTCATCCCCGTTTCCAAGCCATAGAGCCAGCGTTTGTCCGAAGACAATCTTCCGTGGTCACATGGCCAGTGCGACTTAGACACGGAACGCTGTTACCTTCCCACCGAAGTGGTACCTATTTATCTACTTGCATTTGCATGCTTTCGAACCGCTAGGTTGGCGGGAGCTGGGACAAGCGACGGGAGCTCACTCCATTGCGTGGATTTGATCTTACGACTGCTTGGTCTTCTGACCCTGCAGCACAGGCTTCTGTGGTTTAGCCCACAGCGCCACCACGTCCCTGTACAGCGCCACCACGTCCCTGTTTTTTAACCCATAAGAGGTCCAAATCCTGGATGAAAATGTCAGGATGGGGGGCCGGCCCAGCCTCGCTCTCGGCAGGCCCTCCTGTCGGTGCTGGACCAAATTTTTTTTAAAAGCTCCTTTTAGAAATGGTATGGGGCCACTTTGGTCTTCCCTGCCAGGCATCCTTTCATAACATCTTCTTCCAATAAAAATGTCCCTTTCTCCGAGATTATTTTCTATGATCTGGGTTTGTTTGTTTGTTTGTTTATACCCCACCCATCTAGACCAATGGTCTACTCTATTTCCAAATAAACTTTAAATAAAAATGTGATATGGGGGGGGGAGGAAGGAACTGATGATGGATAAGAGGATGGATGGATGGATGGAAAAAGGAACGAATAAAGGACATATTCTCTATATTTGTGCACACATTTATATTATGTTTTATTGTTTCATATACTGTACTGTACAGTATTTCCTTTTCCACAACTTGGGCCCAACGCTCTGCGCAAATGGCGCTGGGACAGTTACGCAGATGGCGTAGTTGTGCGCACTACGGTTCGCAGCGGCGAGAGAAGCTACGTCACTCGCGTAAAGGGGAAGTCACTCGCGTAAAGGGGAAGTGGACCCTTTTTTTTTTATTTCCCGCTTATCTCAGAGATAGCCAATCAGAGAGAGAGAGAGAAGGGGAAGGGGGTCTGGTACCCGCGCGGCCCTGTCACGTGCCCCCTAGTCCGGGCTCGCCATTGGCTGGGCGGGAAGAGCGGATTCGCCAGGTATCTGCGACTTGGACTGCAACTCCAAGAAGCCTTTGCCATCAGCTGTGCTGCCAGGATTTCTGGGAGTTGTAGTCCAAGAATACCTGGGTGACCCAAAGTGCTGTATGTAGGGCTTTAAAAGAGGCGAGCTATTTTTTTTTTAACGACGGAAGGAAGGAGAGCAGAAGTAATGGCGGCCTTTCCAGTCTTCTTAATCCCTGACCCAACATAGTGCATGTGAGGGTGAGACTGTTTGTTTGTCGGGACTATGAGTCCCATGATGTAAGGGGAATATGGGAACTGTAGTGTTCAAAATAACCCAGCCACCCCTAACCCACCAATTTTTTTGGTGGGGTTCCTCGGACTTAAAGCTCGAACTTGGTTCAAAAAAGGACTAATTCAGAGGTAAAATTAAGAGCAGAACTGGGGAGCTTGAGTCCTAATATCACAGCGGATGGATTTAAATGATAAAAATTGGGTGTTTGTTTCTTTAACATTTAAATTTAATTTTTAATTTTATATCCACCCACCCCCAAATCTGTCTGAGGGCCACTCAGAACAGGAAAACAAGAATAATAAGATAAAAAGAAACAATGCAATCAAAAGCATTCTGATCCATAATGTATTTAATTTGATTAAAAAATAATTGATTTTTATTGACATATTTGCCTGTCTTGCTGCTCTGGAGGTTCCAATACCACTAATACTATTACTAATAATAAATAGAACTTCAGGGGGGTGGAATGGATCCTTGAGTCCAACCAACTCCATGCAATCCTTCTCACCCCTGCATGAAATCAACCTGTTTGTCCTCCTGTTTATGAGCGGTGAGGACTAGACTCTTAATTATTATTATTATTTAATTTTTTTGCAGAAGGAAGCAAGGTGGCTGAGAGATGGAGCCACAGCTTGGCCGGCAGAAAAGTCCCATCACATGCCGAGTGACTGGAGACACCCACCCAAAACCCGGGAGGCTTTCTGTTGCCTTCAAGTCTTGTCCGACTTAGAAAGACCCTAATAGGATTCTCAAGGTATGTGACCTATTTAAGGACTCGTTCCATCGGTCTTGCTGTGACACCCTCTGGTTCTGTGAGATGGTATGGATACATGTGTGGGGGTTTAAAAATAAACGTTGCAAACACAAACTTTACAGATAATATATCAACATGATCTATAAAGCTTGTCTTTGCAATATTCATTTTAAAACATATATTTATTTACAACCCAGGCCTCCATCCCTCTACTTACTAGACTACCTTGCCTCTGTTGAATTACAGTGGACCCTTGACTTACAGACGGCTCGATTTACAGACTTTTCGAGTTACAGACTTCTCTGGCTGCAAAATTTAGATTCGACTTGCAGCCGGAGAATCGACTTACAGACCAGAAAAAACCCAAAATGGAACAAAAATAGAATAAAAACCGCTGGTTATGGGATTAATCGGTTTTCAATGCATTCTAGGTCAATGGAGATTCGACCTACAGACTTTTTGACTTGCAGACACCATTCCAATACGGATTAATTCTGTCAGTAGAGGGTCCACTGTAGGTGGATCCA